ATGGTTCTGTTTGGCCATGTTAAGTTTCAGAGGCTTGTTATATTTCAAGTGAAGATATCCCATAGGCAAGTGGCTAACTGTCTATGGTTAAGGGGAGACATCCAGGCTGGAGGTATTTCAAAACAAGGGACAAGATGAGATCACATGGTGACTAACAGCAGATATACAGGAAGACAGAGGGCAGAGGGTTAGATACTGAATTACCATACAGGGAGATACCTGCTGTGGAAGAGGAAATACCAGGTTAGTGGAAAGGGAGGTTGGTCAGGGAAAGTTCCATGGAAGAATTATATCTCAGCTCCTAGAATCCATGGAAAACCAAGCAGTGACATTGTATCAGTAAGGACACTGGCCCAGAGAGGTACTTTGTCATTGGTCACACAGCTAGTGGTCTCACTAACTTTCCTTTATATTTGAACCACTTTAAGTCAAATGTGCCACAGCGTATCCTACGAAGAGACACAACAGCCGGGCACCTAGGCGCACAGGCTCTGGACTCATTCTGCTAAGGTTCAAATTCTGGATCTGCCACTTACTAGGTGGGTGACTCCAGGCACATTACTCAACATTTTGTCTACTTTATTTTTCTTATCCGTAAACGGGCATACTACAAAGAGTTAACTACTTACGGACTGCTTACTATGTTCTTTGTACTAAGATTTTACATATATTATTCATCAGAGGGCCCTTATTCCCATCTGACTGATGAGGAACTGGAAGCATATTCACCCATTCCACAAATATTTATTCTGTGCCTGCTATGTGCCACACACGTTTCTTCGTGCTGGGGGAACATAGGTTAACACAATAAAATTCTTGTCTTTGTGCAGCTTCAGTCTGGGGAGAAAGATGATAAATTATATAATAAATATGTACATTCTATGGTAATTAAAGCATGATAAATACTATTTTAAAAAAAACAGGGCAGGATAATGGAGCTAGAGAAGTTGCGGTTTTAAGATGGGTATCCAGGGTAGACCTCATTGAGAAGGTGACATTTGAGTAAAGATTTGAAGGAAGTGAGACAGCGAGGCACCCAGGTATTTGGGGAAAGAGGACTCGGAGCGAGGACAGCAAGTGCAGAGGGAGGCCCTCAGGCGGGAGGGTATGCCTGGTACCCATCAACGCCAAGGACAGCATTGGACAGTTCTGCCCAGAGGAGTGATATAACTTGACCTCCCACATGGTGCTTCTATTTAGGTCCAAGGTCCATCCACGCAGTCGGACGCTGGAGTCTGTGCTCTCAGGACTAAAGAATCAGTCGCGACCCCAAAGACTCAGCCACACAGCAAGCGCCCCGTAAGCGCCAGCCCATCTCAGTGGTTTCCACGATCCTTTCGCTGAACCCCCGCCCCGACCTACCGCCCTCTAGCTCCCCAGCTCCAGGGCTGGGCATCCACTCAGTCCGGTCTCCACGTAGAGCTTCCCCGGCTACGGATTGCGCAACTCCGGCAGCGGGGCGGAGTCCGGACGTGGGCGGAGCGGCTGCGCGCGGGAGAACGCCCCGGCTCTCAGACGCGACTAGGAAGCCCCGCGAGCCCCCGGAACGCCCACTGACTGCGCCTGCGCACGCCGGAGCCAGGCCGCGGACATTCCAGAGCCGCAACCCGCCCCGCCCCAATTCCGGGGCGGAGTTCTCGGCCGCGCCTGCGCACAGCCTCGCCGCACCCTACGCCTGCGCACTTCGCCAGCCCGGCACCATCCTCGGGTTCTTCGGGTGGGGGAGGGGGCGCGTCTCGGCGAGTCACGATGATGGCGGCCACCAGCCTGTGGTGAGCTAGCGGATTCTCTGCTGGTCTCGCAGAGCCCCTCGCGCCTCCTGCAGACTCCGGGGCTGTCGCCGGGCACGTGAGGGAGCACGGCGGCCCGAGCTCGCGGGGAAGGCCGCAGTCGCGGAGGCAGCGGCGCGGCCGAGGGCGAGGGCTGGGGGAGAGGCCGCTCCACAGGGCGAATGTGACAAGCCCCCACCCCCCACCGCCTTCCTCCCGAGTGCGCGAGGCGCGCGGGCGACCCCGGGGCCCCGCCAGGCCACAGACCCCGCCCAGCGGCCAGCACCCGGAGCAGGCCCGGCAGCCGAGCTGCGCGGCGGCACCATGCGGGTCACCCTGAAGACCCTCCAGCAGCAGACCTTCAAGATCGACATCGACCCCGAGGAGACGGTGCGAGCGGCGGGGAGCGCGGGCCCGGGCGCGGCGGGGGAGTGCGAGGGGCCCTCCGGGCCTGGGCGCGCGGGGGGCAGCGCGGCTGCGTGCGGAGCCCCGGCCTCGGCTCCGAGCAGGGCCGGCGGCGCGCCGGAGCGGGGAGAACTCCCGGCGCCCCCGCGGGAGGGGCGGCGAGCGCGGGGTTCGGGCCCCGGGTGTTGGATGAGGCCTGCGGGTTCCGGGAGCGGGTAGGGCCCCGGGGCCCGGCCCTTCGGAGTCCGCCGCGGGCTTTGTGGCAGAAGTGAGGGGACGCGGTGGCCGGACGCCGCGGGCCTGGTGGCAGATGGCGTGGAGCACACGTCCGCGGAGCCCGGGAGGCCTCGGCCTGGGAGCTCTCGGTGGTGGGCCGGAGGGGGAGGGGGTTAGGGCTGCCTGGGCGGTGGAGCCGGCTCCCTGGAGTCGGTGCCTAGGTGGGGGAGGGAGAGGTAGGCGTCGCCACTACCCCTGCGTGGACGGGTTAGGCGCTAAGGTCTAGGAGGTGGTAATCGGAGATAATGAGCCTTAAAAAAGTAGGTATCAGGTTCCGTCTGCAGGAGAGAGGTGAGCGGTGAGGAGTGGTGGAATGAATTCTTTGCCCTCTTCTACCCAGAATTGGGAACCCTTTTATGTGTACGTTTCTTGAATTATGGAGCTGCAGTTCTCCCGCCACCCACACCCACACCCTTATGTAGATTGTACTTTGAGACCTCTTTGGTGGTGAAGATTTTTGCATTAGAGCCCTTCCAAGAAAGGCTCAAAGTCAGCTCCAGATTAGCTGGTCCTCTGTGTTAGACGTCTTGGAATTGTAGGAGTTGGAACCCTGCACCCCTACCCCGACATAATAGCGTTTCAGGGGGTATAAAATTACTTTGAATCTCTACTGCGCTTAAACCCTTGAACACTTCCGAAGTCCACGTGGTAAATTCTCATGCCACCTTCTGTATTTGTGACTGCAGAAAGAACTACTGTGTCGAAATCAGTACAACTTCATGCCAAGAATCTAAAAATGCTTTGGGTATAAATTTACGACTTACGTTCTGAAATTGTGATTTCGTACCCCGTTAAGATTTGTCATAATGCTAAGTTTAAGCCAGCAACTTTCTGCCCATCTCTATTTAAAAAAATAGTTGATTCTATTTTTGGTGGAGATCGGGGGCCTCCTGTTAAAGAGACCTGAGTGCCATTTGTGGCTCTAACTTATTTGATAGGACCTTCGGAAAATTAATCTCTTAGTTGCACCCTTTGCACAATGGGAGTAATAACTGCCTTGCAGAGATGTGAGGATTAAATGGTATTTAATTTGTGGTCAAAAAGTCGTATCTGTTATTAATCAACGGATGCTTTTGAGTGAACATATAGTGGTGTTTTACCTATCTCATATAATCTAAAGTTTTCCACATCTTTAATTATTTAAGAAACATAGTTCCCAACCTTTTTGGACTTGTCCACAAGATAATTTGATTTCAGGATATTAAGTGTATGTGGAAGTATGCTGTGTGGTACATTCTTAAAAGTGCAGGAAGTAACAATTACATAGGAGAAACTTCAGAGTCCTCAGAAGTAATTGACAGCACACTGTGGATTGAAATTACTTACAAAAATCAAACTCTTCTTGAGTATTCCTTTACTGCTTAGTGTGCACTAAGTTGTTAAAGGATTTAAAAGTTAAAATGCAGCTGTTTAATGTTTTCAGACAAAATTTTGCATGAGATATCTATTTGACTTTGGTTCTTCATAGTAAGAAATGTTGGTGCTGCAGGAACTTTATCAGCTTATAATATTCAGAATTAATTCCAGAATTATCGGAATTAATAAACCTAAAGGAATTTTTTTTTTTTGGTGAATATCTGTGGATTTATTGAAGTTATGCAGTGACTTCCACAGTGCCACTGAAATATTTATGTTCTACAAGGTTTGTATAGCTTTTTAGGCACTTTGTGCGTACAGTATCGTAGAGCTAATATTGTATTCGTATAGATTCTTAACTCTATTTGCTGCTTTCAAGTTTATTTCCAGGGGAATGTGTTAAGTTATATGAATTATAAATACATTTCTAGAACTGTATTTTCTGAAGCCTCATTGTAACAGAGAGAGGCTTCAGCTTATTGTTGCTGTTTTTATAAAGGTAATTTTTGTTGCCATTTATATAAATATGAAAACTGACATTGTTAACCTGGGGCAAGAAATGAAAACATTTATTTTGTGATATGACTTGTAGGCTTTCGTTTTAATGGCTTTAAATTTCACAGATGTTTCTCAAGCCAGTAGTATTTTAATTTCATTTTATAGTGGTTTTCTAGTTAATATTTATTTTTGATACAGTACTTGAGAGTAGAATTCCAGTAAGAAAAGAAACAATAAAAGTTATATAGTATAGGGAGACTTTTAAGTGTTCTGTTTCTAATTTGTTGTGAAAACTAAATAACCAAATATATTAGAAATACATCTAAAACGAAGGGAAAAAATAGGATTTTAGTGAGGCCTGTAGGAAGATCTACATAAAATTAACAGATTTTGGTGTCTGAGAGCTCGTATTTTGGCTGCTCAAAGGTTTGTCCTTGTTTGATTTTTACCTGGAAGGAACTAAGGAAATTAAGTAATTAGAGGTGGCCCATACAGAAACTCTTGTGAGCTTGAGATGAACAGGAGCAAAAATGAGTGAGAGAGAAGACTGAAAGATAAGAGGAGTCAGGGGAATGATCCATTTGTTGAACGAGTAAATGTTTAGTAAGCTTTGACTGACAGGACCGGAGGAGTTCAGGGACGTGTGGGACATGGTCTGGGTCTTCTGGAAGCCTTATTGACGTAGCTGGAGCTCACTGGCCATAGAGTAGATGTACCGAGTGGAAAAAGCAAGCCGATTTGTTTTTAAAGTGTTTGTATTCCTTTAGTTTTTGAATGTTCAAAGTCCTCCCCACCTTTTTTTTTTAACTAGCAAAACTTTCTTAACACTTACTAGCCATTTTGTACCGTTTATTTGACCATTACCATGCACTGCCTTTAGTGTTAACTGTTGGAAAGTAGTCATTTTATTATTCCAATAGTAATGCATCTCCTCTTCTGTTCAAATTCTAGAGAAACAAAATGAGATGGTAGTATGTGTGGGATGGGGAGACCATTGCTAAAGGAATATTCTTCATTGTGTGAGGTTCTATATTAAATAGATAGTTTACTGTAAAACAATGTAGGAGGAATTTAAATAATCTATATGTCTAATAAAGCATTTAGAGAGGTGTAATAGACTGCTGCTCCTTTAAATTCTTAAAAATTGTGAAGTTTCTTGGTGTGATGGACATTTAGTGGCAAGTGGAAGATACTGTTTTTAAGCTTAGATCCAAAGTCACTTAGTTTTTCGTTTTGCTGTTACTTAAACTCATTAATTAAGAACAAATGAATTAAAGAACAAAATTGAGATAATTGTAGTACAGTGCAGATTTTATTGTATCACTGAAAATGCTGACAGAAAGAGTATGTGGTATACAGTTAATCCTTCAATCTGCTAATCCTTGCTACTGTTATGTGCTTTTATAACTGAAAAAAAAACCCAACAGTAAATTTGAGATAAGAGTTTAAATGCACAAGCTGAAATGTGATCATACTACTATGTAAGTGACATCAAAGCTGTGTATATACACTGGAAAGTTTTTGATAAGAGAATTGTAGAGATACAGTAGTTTTAATTAATATAAACAACATATTTAGTGTGGTATACAATAGTCTGCAAAGAATGACCTCGTTTTGTGGTTTATCTGTGTAATATTGGTGATTATGCTATAAAATACTGCTTTAATACTTGTTCTTTATACAGTATTTGCTACTCATCATTTATTACCGAGTTATTCCTATTGTGGTTTATTGTATTTTAGTATAGTTGTGCTGGAGATGGTGTTTTATAGAAGCTTCCTAGATTATTGAAACATTAAGCGGTAAATGTATTAACATACTATATCATGTAGGTGAAATTAAGGTTTCTTGGCATAATGATATTGGTAGAACAAAACACGAGAAGTACCTGTGAGATCTGGTATGGTTTCTGCTAGGCTTTTGCTCTTTCTATGCCTGGCACACAGTAGGCATTTAATAAAGATCTTTTGAATGAATTGAATGCATTCTTTTGGTGAATTGTCAAGTCAGTGATCCCTCAATGTTTGCGTGTTGATTCATTTATTTAATACTGATTGAGTACTTATTAAATGTCAGGTCCTGCTGTCATGGTGCGTACGTTCTAGTGGAATAAATCAGTCAAAAAACAAATTTTAAAAATGAGATAATGGTAAGTGCTTTGTAGAGAATTGAAATAGGGTGAGGTAATGTGATAGTGCATGACTGGGTGGCTACTTTTAAATTGGCCACAGGAGGCCTTTTTGAATAAGGTGACATTTAAACTGAGATCTGAGTAATAATAAGTACTCTGAGAAGGTGGGGAATTTTTTCTTTAGGGAAAGCCCTTTAAGAGTGTGTTTTGGCAATCAAAAAAGGCCTGTATTGTGGATCTAGGAGGCAAGAGGAAGAGGGATAAGAGATTAGAGAGTTGGGCAAGGGGCTAGAGCCTGCAGAGCTTTGTAGTAAGCTGGGGGTTTTCAAGGTAAAATAGGAAGCTTTGTGGGATTTTAAGCAGAAGGGGAAATGATATCTTTTATGATTTGGAAAGGTTACCCTGCCTGCTGTATGGAGCACGGAGAGTAGAACGAGCAAGAGTGAAAGCAGGGAGACCAGTTAGGAGGCTTGTGCAGGAGTCGTAAGCAGTCAAGGCTTTGACCAGGGAAGTAGGAGTGGAGATATGGAGAGAAGTGGGTGGATTTGAGATACATTTGGGAGGATAGAGTTGAAAGAATTTTTTGATGGGTTGGAGTGGGGAAAATTGAGAAACATAGATTGTGATTGTATAAATTGTATACTTGTGTTCTTTCGTGAGATGTGGAGGGTGGGAGAGGAGCAGGTTTGGAGATCAGGGTGGGAATCTGAGGCTTAAGTTTAAA